CTTCTGTTCTCGCTCGCTTTTCAGAGAATCCAAAGCCTCTTCCAATTGGCTCTCGGAGATGTCCTTCAGGCACAGTGCATCTTCTAATTGGCTGTTAAGCAAGGCTGTTTCCTCCTCCAGAACTTTGATTTCATGCTTCAAGCCTTCATACTCCACCTGAAAGAATAGAGAATAACCATTTGTTTTGATTCTGGAAATATCTGAGACTGTTTCTAAGAAACCTGCCACAAACAAATATATGATGCTTAAATGTCTTGGTTTTACGCCTAGTTTTGAGAATCTATTTGAACATTTAAAGTAATATAATTGAGTGTATTTATGCCATCTGTGACTTAATGGTCTGAAGTTATTTAAATATCAATTAAAAAATATGTTTAATATAAAATAAAAATATACATACAGTATTTATAAGGTTTATAAATATGTATAAATATAAATTAAATGTATAGTAATTAATTGGTCAGAAGATATTTGAATATCAATTTAAATATAAATATAATTTAAAATATAAATATAAAGACTTACAAGTTCAGAAATGTATATCAAAATAAATAAAATGTATAGTAGTCAATTGGTCAGAAGCTATTTAAATATGCATTTAAAAATAAGCATAATATAATTTCACAAAAATATATAAAGATAATTATAAGTTCATAAGTGTATATAATAATAAATATGTGCATATCAATTTAAATATGCATATAATATAAAAATATATAATTACTTATATTTATAAGTTAATAAATTAATTAAAAAATGAATACAATTTAAAGTAATCAATCAATTCACACGTGATGTTTATAACTTTAATAATAATACTTTATAATTTAATAATATAAAAAATAATATAATTTCAGATGGATGGCGAAAATTAAGTTGGGGAAACACAACAAAAATAGTAAAATTTTGTCTGTCAACTGAATGCATGTTCCGTATAATGGAAGTGATCTAGTTTTGTATCAGCTAGTTTTCTGTTGTTGTTTTGAAAAATGTATTTGATGACGACATTATTAACTTGTGTTATTATTTCTTTTGGTCCGAAACCAGAAAGGCCAGTGCAATGACATTTTTCTGGCCCAGAACCTCCTTTTCTTTAGTGGAAATGTGCGGAATGATTCTAGATTGCTCACCAGAACCGTGTCAGTGTAAAGGAGGTAATTGTGGATGTGTTTACCTGGTTCTGCTTGAGCGTGGACACCAGTTTCTGCAGTGAGATGTTCTCCTCTTCCAATTCGGTGTAGTCTTGCAGTAATCTGGCCTCTCTGAATTTATACTCCCTGATTTCCTCTCTCATCCGGCTTCTCTGCAACTCCAACATCTCATTACTCTGAGAGACACAGAGGGGAAACAGAGAAAGAAGGACAGACCTATCAAAACCTGTCATGAGGATACATTTATGATGTCAAACCTAGAATCGATTTATGCAGAGAGTTTCTGACCTCTCTCAGCTCCAGTAGGATGGTGCTGAGTCTCTCGTTCTCGGCCTGCGTGCAGGAGGCCTGCGATCTGCTGCTCTTCAGCTTGGCCTGCTGCTCCAACAGGCGGCCCATGTAGTACGCTTCCTTAGTGGCCGACTCCTGTAGCAGCGTCTCCTCGTTGTTCTCCCCATCTTCAGCCACCTTCCTTTGGGTGGTGTACGCCTGGCTGAAGGCCTGAGGAAGAGAGAGAAGAAGAAATGCTAAATGACATACATGCATAAAATGCATGCAAGAAACACTTCAGCTGCACCACGATTTTTACTTTAAATGTAGTATATAGTATGTGAGATCAGAATTGGCGCATCCCAAATTACAGTACATTTTAAAAAGTATGCAAAGAATATCAATACTAAGGTGTTTTTTTTTACCTGTGATTTTGTTCCTTTAACAAGACATTTAATGCATACAATATGCACTGAATTGGACGAATAACTATTTTCCTGCTCATCTGAACAGACGGAAATGCTGAAGACAGAGCTAATCAATCACAGAGAGCGTTCGCTCACTGCTGACACTGCATTCAAACAGGGCTGCATTTCCCAAAAGTATCATAAGAAACCATTGATGCTTTTGGGAAACGCAGCACAGAACAATTCTTATCAGACGACAGAAAAACAAAACATTTTCACAACAAACAAGTTGAAACTGTAGCCTATAGTTTGTTCAATTACATTTAATTAATGTTTATTTGATTTCAAGTAACAAAAATGTTTTCTAATGTTTTAATAAATAATAATAATTGTACATAATGATTTTATGGTTTTCATTTTAGCTTTAGTTTAAATAACTATAATAACCCTGGTGTTTTGTTGATGTCTGTGTGTTTTTCTATCTAATATTAAAATTGCATTAGTTCAAAAGCAAAGCGGTAAACTGCAGGAGACACTGATTTGGTGACCTCACAATACGAGGTGAAGTTCAGGCAATATTGTTCATAATCTGGAAGGTGTGAGAGGAATAGATGACAACAGTGATCTCGCATAAGACACTGAGAAAATCAATGCAGCGCTCAGCCGAGCGATAGTGTGAAAAATCAATTAGGAGGTGTAGAGGAGCTCAACGCTTCAGGTATGAGGGATGACAGAAGAAATAACAGACTTATGGACAGTGCTGATAACAGCGTTCAATAGCATGATAGGAGGCAGAATGGCCGTAGCATTTGCTGAATGTCCAGTTTATTGTGTGAGAGAGCGTCACAGTCGCTCACTGTAATGGAGAGAGAGCCGAATGAGGCTTATTGTGTGCTCAGAGGGAAGTATGTTCTCCCTGCATGGATGGAGAGCGATGGAGTCTTTTAAACAGACGCCACTGGGGTTTTCCATTAGTTGGAAATTTAATCAAACTCTCCCTGGTCAGTCAGTCCTGCTGTGCTGGGA